GCCTCACAGGTAGGGGGCTCCAGGTGGTATGGCCTCACCTCTGCAGGAGAGAACACGCCTAGTGCTGACAGTGCCTTAACAGTGCACACAAGGATAGCAAGGTTCACTGACCAAGTGACCAAGTCACTACATCTCAGAATGGAAAAGTCAACTCCAAATGACATCAAGAGGAGAACACGAAACCTGGTATGAAATTCAGGTGTACACTCACAAAGCCTTTAAAAAGAGAGACTCCCCTGGCAGAAAGAAATAGCTGTTTTCCTATAATGAAGTTTTCATTCTTAAATAGCTTTTATTTTCATTGTACAATAAATGTTTATTGGAGAATATAAAAAGTACAGAAAAGAAAAAATGATAAAATCATCCATAATCCCATTATTCAGACAGAAACATTACTTATTTTTTGTATATTCTTCCAGATTTTTTTCCTATATGAATAAATATATACATTTTCAACTGAAGTGGGATCACAGTGTACACACTGTTTTGCAACTTGCTTTTCTTTAATTCAACATTTTCCATGTTCAATAAATATAGTTCAACAAGTTCTTCTACAGGCACCAGAGAAACTATACAGTTATAGCAACAGTGGCTCAACCAATCTGTGTTACACACACATTAAAAAGATGGAGGATAATCCATTTCAATTTTTAATGTTTAAGTGATGGATGTCTTCCAGTGAAAAATTCTACCTATGGGGTCGGCATTGTGGCACAGCAGGTTAAGCCACCACCTGCAATGCAGGCATCCCATATGGAGTGCCAGTTCGAGACTGGCTGTTCTGTTTGCAATCCAGGTCCCTGCTAATGCACCTGGAGAAGCAGCAGAAGATGCTCCAAGTGCTTGGGCCCCTGCCAGCCATGTGGGAGACCTGGATGTAGTTCTGAGCTCCTAGTTTCAGCCTAGCCCAGTCCCGGCCATTGAGGCATTTGGGGAATGCAGCAGATGGGAGATTCTGCCATCTGTGTGTGTCTTTCTGCCTTTCAAATAAATAAATAAATAAATATATTTTTAAAATGTCATCTAAATCCATCAAAGTGAAATCAGACAAACATGAAACACTCTTCTAGAAAAAACAGTCATCTGGGCCAGCACTGCGGTGCAGCGGGTTAAAGCCCTGGCTTGAAGCGCCGGCATCCTATATGGGTGCTAGTTCAAGACCCAGCTGCTCCTCTCCTGATCCAGCTCTTTGCTACGGCCTGGGAAAGCAGTAGAAGATGGCCCAAGTCCTTGGGCCCCTGCACCCTCGTGGAAGACCCAGAAGAAGCTCCTGGCTCCTGGTTTCAAATCAGTGCAGCTCCAGCTGTTGCGGCCATCTGGGGAGTGAACCAGTGGATGGGAGACCTCTCTCTCTGTCTCTACCTCTCTCTGTAACTCTGTCGTTCAAATAAATAAAATAAATCTTAAAAAAAGAAAAAACAATCATCTGAGTAGTTGATCAGGTGAGCACTTTCCATCAAATCTCTTGGGGACATGTACACCACACTTGTGGGTAGAAGTCAGGAGTCCACCGACTGAAACTCCCCAAGGGCTTAGGGCACATCTGGGTGAGATTTACGGAATATCTCTCGGTGGCAATTTAAGGAACACTGCTTCCCTGAGAACTGACTTTTTGTCATTTTGATAAATATCTTTATCATTGACCCTTGCTTTAAAGTCTACTTTTGTGATGTTTGGCATCATAGCTACCCCAGCTGCCTTTCGGCTGATGTGTTTGCATCCTGTGTCTTCTTCCATGCTTTTACTTTCACCCCTTCTCTATTCTTTCATCTAACGGATGTCTACTGCAAGCAGCAGACAATTTTAACTATCCAGATTGACACCCTCTGTCTATTATTATCCAGTTGCATTTTATGTAATTATATGAGTGAAAAATGACTGTGTTGCTATTTGTTTTCAGTGTGTCCTATCTGTTGTGTTTCTGTATCTCTCCTTTCTGATTTTCTTTTGGATTCCTGAGTAACTCATCATTTCAATCTCCCGCCTCCTATTAAAATGCTAATTACACACGACTATTGTTGCAGTGTTGACTCTGGAGATGACCACGTGCCCCCTAACTTACCAGAGTCTAAGAGAAATTAGTTCATCAGCAGTTTGTTGGACAGTGGTAGGATCTGCACTCCACCCCCAGCCCTCATGCTACCATCATGTAATTTACTTCTACTTCTACTTCTAGCACACCCCCACAGACACTGTTGTTCTGCAGTCAGCGCTCATGTCCTTTATTGCTTTCGTTGCTCTTCTGTCCTTCCTATATTTCAAGTTTCCATCCAGGCCCATGTTTCTGTTGGCCTGAAGACTTCCCTTTGGCCTTTTTTCTACTGCAGGTCTTCTGAAGACAAGGTCTCTCTGCTTTTGTTTGCTTGAAAACTTCCTTTGGTTGTTTTCATTTTTGAACGATCTTTTCACTGCAAATAGAATCCTAGGTAGACAATCACTTTCTTTCGTAACTGCAGAAACTGTCATTTCATTGTCTTCTGATTTCCATTGTTTTTGTTGAAAAGTCAGTGGTCAGTCCTCCAGCTATCCCTTGATGGCAATGTTCTGCTCTGACTTGAACACTTCCTCTTTGTGCTTCAGTTTCACAATGTATGAGTCAGGTGTGGTCTTCTCCGTATTGAACACATCCAGAGTTGGCAAAGCTTCTTGGGAGAAACCTTGGTCTGCATCATTTCGAATACTGCCTCTTCGCCCTCTCACTTGTCACTGTTCCCTTCATTTGCAGAATTTGGGCCTTTTCATCATGTCTCTATGGCTCTTATTATTTCTTCTCTATTTCCCCATTTCTCTTTTCTCTGTTTCACTCCTTACTTTTTAAAAATTTACTTACATTAAAAAGTTTGTTGATATCTTATGTCCAATTTGCTATTCAATCTATTTAATTCCTCATTTCAGTCATTGTATTTTTCACTCCCAGAATTTCCACTTAAGTCTTTTTCACTCATTCTGTTTTACTTGGGAAATTTTCCATCTGGTCATCTACTTTCTTGACTATATTAATGACCATGCTTTTTAGATCCATAGCTGACTATTCCAGTGTCTACATCACCTACTGCCATTTCCATCATCATTTTTTATGTGCTTTTTCCCTTTCTTCTTCTTATTTTAATGATATGGCAATATTTCCTGGCATTCTTGTCAAGTTTCTTTTGGACAGTAGTCAGTGTGCATCTAAACCAGTGAGATGTGGGGCAGGCACTGGCCTAGTGGTTAAGACTCCAGGTGAGACACTCAAGTTACACTTCTGACTTTAGCTTCCTGCCAGTATGACCCTCACAAGCAGCAGGTGATGGCTCAAGGACTTGAATCCCTGCCACCCACGTGGGAGACCTGCACTGGAATGTTCCCAGCTCCTGGCTTTGGCTTGACCCAGTCCTGGCCATTGAGGGCACTTGGGAGGTGGTAACCCAGTGGACAGGAGCACGCTCTCTCCAACTCTCTAATAAATAATAAATTAAAAATTTTAAGAAAACTAACCAGGGGGCCAGCACCGTGGCTCACTTGGTTAATCCTCTGCCTGCAGCGCCAGCATCCCATATGGGCGCTGGATTCTAGTCCTGTTGCTCCTCTTCCAGTCCAGCTCTCTGCTGTGGCCCGGGAGGGCAGTGGAGGATGGCCCAAGTGCTTGGGCCCTGCAGCCGCATGGGAGACCAGGAAGAAGCACCTGGCTCCTGGCTTCAGATCGGTGCAGTGCGCCGGCCATAGCAGCCATTTGGGGAGTGAACCAATGGAAGGAAGACCTTTCTCTCTGTCTCTTTCTCTCACTTTCTAACTCTATCTGTCAAATAAATAAATAAATAAAAGAAAACTAATCAGATAATTTGACGCTCTCGCAAATGTTACAATCTTCAGAGAGAATTTGCTTTTGATTTCTGATAAACAGTACAAGGACAAATTACTACAGTAATAATTAGAGAACTAAAGTAAACAGGTTCAAAGCTGTGTTTCAGTGTTTTAGGAAGGTTGCCCATTTCAGGTTCAAATTTCCTACTCCTCAGTCAGGGCCAGGCCCTCATAAGAAGTCAGGATGCTTCCCGCAGCTCCTCCCTGACCCTGCCAGTTCAGTCTCCCAGGCTTTGAGAGTGGCCTTCTCTTTGCATCAGAACCCCTGAGATATCAACTCAGCAGCGAATCCCCTACAGAGAACAGCAGTGCAGAGCAGCAGGCTCACCTTAGTGTTCTTCCCTGCTGCCTGTTCCACACTGCCTTCACAGCTAAATCCCCTAGTTTTGTCTCCCAGCTCCATAAATCCTCCCAAAGCTCTATGCATGGTCTCAGATTTTCTGACACCACTTTTGTTAAAGTGTCTTTGCCTCTCCACCCACAAGTCCCTTAGGAACCAGCAAGCACAGTAAGGGGAAAGGCATCTTGGAAAGCCAGGCTTCATCCATGATCCCCTCTCCTTCAGGATCCTGGTCCTTCCAGCCCTGGCCACTTTGTCCAGGTTCTCTAAAACTTTGCACAGAAAACTGGTCTGTAAGCTACTCCACTTTCACTAAAAGCAAAAATCCTTTTAGGATAAAATGAACTACGGCTTTCATCTCTTGATCCTGTATCTTACCCGGGTAACTCCTCTTTTTTTGTTAAAAGCTGCTCTAAAAGCCCTCAGAGGCACTTAGTTAAATGGCAGCTGACTTAAAAGCCAACATAAACAGCATCCAATTATCCCAAATATCCATCAGAATTCTGCCTACCCACCACATAGGCTCCTCTGCTCCTGCTGTAAATCTGAACACTTCCTGGTTTTTGACCAACTTGGATTTGCCAAATCCCACTTCTGGGTTCCTCTTGCTACGCGTGGTGGCCCAGTCTGGGTCCAACCTATTCTGTCCTACAGAAAATTCTTCCTTCTGAGTCACTACTCCATGCAACCAGACCCAGAGGCCTCAGGTTTACCCACTGAATCTGCCTATGCTCTTGGCCCATGCCCAGCAAACCCAGTGTTTGTGTTCCTCCTCCCCAGTCTCACTGAGGAGCTCTGACAGCACAGACAGTCTCACCTCTCAGGGGGACCACGCATTCCAGCTTTCTCCAAAGGCAAACCAATCTTCTGTCAGCAGCTACATCTCTAACTCTTCTGGAAAGGATAGCGCGGATTCTCAGGTACCTGCTGTATGGGTTGAACAGAATTTGGCACTCCAAAATCATGCAAAAGTTTAAGCCCCAAAGTCTTAACTGTAAATGAATTAATCTTAATAATTGGTGACCTAAGTGTTATTCAATTATTACATCTGGGCAGAACACCTGGGGGGAGGCCTTTTGGTCCCTGGAGACTTGCCCCCAGCAGGTATCTGAGGGCTGATTCTATGAGCCGAGCACGAATCCTCTCTGCCTCCCAGCTCACCATGGGATCCTCCCTGTGCACGTGTTCCGCCATCCACTGCCATCGTAAGATGCTAGACCAATGGGGCTCCTCAGTTTTTCACTGTGAAATTCCACCACTATGAGGCAAGGTAAACCGCTTGACTTCTAAGTTAAACTCCTCTCGGGTATTTTAAGGCAAAGTCTTTTTTAAGGTTAAAATACTGAAAAGGTAACACACCAGGGTAACAATTCGCTGCTTTTCAGATTTTTCACACTGAAACGTTCATCTCTAAGCGGCTCCTCTGTGCTCCCTCTTTCAGGTTCAGGGGTTCCCTTGCTTTTCATCCTCCACCACTCACTCGTCAGTTCAAAGTGCGTAAGTGGGGTGGGCATTTGCTGTGCAGTTAAGAAGACACTTGGAATGCCTGCATCAGGTATGCCTGCTCCCAATACCAGCTTCCTGCAATGCACACACTGGGAGGCAGCAGGTGACGGCCCAAGTCCTCAATTCCCTGCCACCCACATGGCAGACCCAGATGGAGTTCCTGGCTCCTGGCTTTGGCCTGACCTAGGCCCAGCTTCTGCAGGCATTTGGAGACTAAACCAGTAGATTGGAGATCTCTCTCTCTCTCTCTCTCTCACTCATATACGTTAAATAAATAATAGCCCTTTTTAAAAAAAAATCACAAACTTGAGTATAAAAGAAACACAAAAGTATTTTTATTATTATTAACCATAAACAACTGAAAAAGACACTCTTTCCTTCAAAAAATCATAATGAATTCCAAAGCCAAATAAAAAATAACTTTGCATCATCTTTTTTTTTTTAAGATTTTATTTATTTATTTGAGAGGTAGAGTTACAGACAGTGAGAGAGAGAAACAGAGAGAAAGGTCTTCCTTCCATTGTTTCACCCCCCAAAATGGCCGCTACAGCCGGCGCACTGCAGGAGCTAGGCCCTTCCTCCTGGTCTCCCATGCGGCTGCAGGGCCCAAGCACTTGGGCCATCCTCCACTGCCCTCCCGGGCCACAGCAGAGAGCTGGACCGGAAGAGGAGCAGCCGGGACTAGAACCAGCACCCATATGGGATGCTGGCGCCTCAGGCGGAGATTAGCCAAGTGAGCCATGGCGCTGGCCCCAGCATTATCTTCTATTATATAAATTATATATATTTATAACATATTCCTTCAAAAGGCATTTTTATCTCAGAAAATATGTGGTCTCATTCTTTATGTAATAAACTACCCAGTTGATGCTTAATAAATAACAATGATTGTATCATTTGTAACATACGAAGTATCTTAACCTATATATTATAGAGCAACTGCATTCTCAAATTTGCCAAATTTTCCCTATTTACATCAAATAGATCATGACATTTTCTTGCAAACACACAAACTTAAACCCCATTTCTTTTGATTTTTAAGACTAGCCTTTTGCAGCACACTCCACTGCAGGCTTTCCCAAAGCTGCTCGCTCAGAGTGTGGAGGCTGATGCCAACAGCAGAGATCTCATTAAGGGCAGCCCTGCTGAGCTCGGCCCCAGCCTTTGCTGCAGACAGGAATCGTTTGAAGCCCTGATGTACGTTCCTTAAGCCCAAGAGCCCCAGCTGACTTTAGGTCCTCAGTGCCACAGCGGCTGTCAGAGACAAAGACCCTCCTTTGTCAGAAGGACTCCTGAGAGTTCTGTGCCATGCTGCCGCTTCCCTGGGGTGCTGGGAACGTGCCCTCCCATGAGCAGATCTGCAGGCCATGCTGTCGTGCCGGCTGCACTGGGAAGACTGCAGCAAAAGTCAGGTAACCCAGAAATGACCAAGCATCAGCCCAGAGCTGATGTGGGGGGACTGCAGGCACAGAACCCTTAAAGCAAGGCTGATTCTCAGGTCAGTCCTTCCAGGGTTGCCATATAATCGGGTGCAGTTCAAAGGAAGCAGAATCAAAGTTCTCTGAGGTTCTCATTTGTAAAGGTTCCGGAACAGACCTTTTCCCAACCACCGCCAGCATCTCTCCCTGTCTCTGCAGTACCCTGCAGTTTGGCATCTCCACCTGACCTGGGCAGAACGCCTCCAGCTGCTCTGGGGCGCCCTTGTTAGACAGACACGTGCACTCAAAGGTACAGAACATTCCTGCTTCTCCAAGGACCACAACCAAATGTGACGCGAGGCCCAAGATGGGCACTACGGGGTTGGCACGTCCTGCTGCCCCTCCCGGGGGTCAGCCGTAGGCTGGAGGCTGACTCACGGGTCAGCAGCTCCTCTGAAGCCGGCACTCGGCAGAAGATGTCTCATATCAGCCAAGTTACGCTCGGCAGTTGTCACGCATTCCTCTCCCGCCGAGCACACCACTCAGGCTCCTCACCTATCACATGGCCGCTTCTGAGAACATTATCTCCAGGGCCTTGACAACTTCTACATTCTGTAAATTTGTGGACACAGCTGCTGCCCCGACACTGGTACCCGAGACCACCAACTGTGTAGTCCTGAATGGCCTCTATCTGAGAGGAAATGTGTGTGTTGCAAGGATCCCAAAGGAAAACAAATGTTTCTTATGGGCGGGGTCAAGAGAGAGGCAACAATGTGCAAAGGAGAAGCCATCAGACAATCTGAAGCCCCAGATGGTTACAGGCTGAACCGGGCAGTCTTTCAGACAAACAACCCCGAGAGGTGTCCGGAGCCTCCTGTCGGCCACGTCATTAGCCCTTCATCATTGCCAACGACAAGGCAGGCAAGGTCTTAAGAGTTTAGAGCCACTGACAGGGACTCCAGGGGCCCCTGGAAAGGAAAGGAAGAAACATAGATGGTATACAACCCTCCAGGAGCCCGAGAAGGGAGGCACATATGCAAGGTAATCTTCAGATACTGCTGCAGCTACCAGACATCCTAAAGTCCCTGGGTAACATCTTAGGACACTGTTGATTGGTTCCTGGCTTAACCAATCACATTCACGTAAAATACCTCATTATCATACACCTCGACCAATTAGGTGAACTTCTTCCTTTGCAGAAATGCATAAAAATCCAAACCAGGAGGCTGGTGCTGTAGCGTGGCGGGTAGGGCCACGGCCTGCAGTGCTGGCATCCCATGTGGGCGCCAGTTCGAGTCCCAGCTTCTCTGCTCCCAGTACAGCTCTCTGCTAAGGCCTGGGAAGGCAGTGGAGGATGGCCCAAGTCCTTGGAGAGACCCAGAGAAGGCTCCTGGCTCCTGACTTCAGATCTGCACAACTCCAGTAGTTGTGGCTGATTGGGAAGGGAGCCAGAGGATGGAAGATCTCTCTCTCTCTCTCTCTCTCTGACTCGCCTCTCTCTGTGTAGCTCTGACTTTCAAATAAATAAATAAATAAATAAATCTTAAAAAAAAAATCCAAACCAGGCCATTCTGACAAGCAGACCCTTGCAGCATGGGCAGCCCCTTTTGGGGCAGGCAGTCCCAACTGCCCGGAGCTTTCTTTGCTTCTTTAAATAAACCTCCTTCACCTTGCTCACTGTTTCTTGTCTGTGTGCCTCATTCTTCATGATCACAAGACAAATAGCCTGGCATGGAAGAGACGCTGTAACTCAAGTCTGCACAAGACTTCAGCAGAGAGGAGAATCTATGACCCAAAATGAGAGGAAAGGCTGTAACTTAAAGAGCTGTAACACAAATCTGCAACACTATAATGTGGGAGCTGTGCTGTTTCTAAAGCACCCAGAGAAAAGAAGAATCTGCCACATTTCTTGGGGATGAGACCTGGACCTGAGTAATTCAAGTCACAGCCTCCTCCTGCCACTAGCCCTGCAACACTGCTCCAGAAAGGCAACATGTGTTCAGAAAAACACTGAAGGTGCTGGTGAGCCTGAGGAAGACTGGGGCTGGGGGCAAGATGCAGGGTTTCTAAAATGTCATCTAGGACACACAACAAAGAGAAGAAACTAAAACTAAGCATGAATCCAAGTCCATTCCATCCAGATGGAAAAATTCCTGGCTGAACTGTCTCGGCTGGGGGTTAACAGATGCAGGCTTCCTTTACGACTCTAGACAGTGGTTTCCTGCCTGTCCCACCCACTCCTGGGGCAAGCGGGGGGAGAGGGGGAAGGCACAAGGCTGACTATGCACTGCCCTTCAAGCAAGGCCTCTTCCACACATGGACTCCAGGAGCACACACCCTCAGGGCCCATTGTTCCAGAACTGCTGTTTCCCCTGGCAATGAACCCACCTTGCTACACAAGCACAGCTGTGGCTGCCAAGCTGGCCCTGTATATGATGGGAAACAGAATGAGGGGTACCTGGGGGTTGAGCCGTCGGGGCGCTGAAGGCCTATGCCTCTTGAGCAGCCCTTACAAACCATGGGACTGCACAAGACAAAGTGGGAGACACTTTCTTCTTGCAAGCCAGGCCCTCTGAGTGCAGGAGATGCTGTCTGCTTTAAGTGCATCTGGCAAGGGCGATAGCTCTGCGCTTAGAGAAAATGTCAGCTGTGCCCTCCACCAAGCAAAGGGTCTACTGATTAGATACGCAGGTGAAACCTTCCAATCCGAAGTTGAAACACTGGTTCCCCGATCCTCCAGAATGTGTCCAACTCAGTCGTCTCCCTGAGCTATGACTAGAGCAGTTCTAAAATGCACTTGGCCAAGGGGGTTACTAACTGTAGTTGTTGGCACTTTTACAACAAATGTGTGATTTTTATGTTAATTTTTAAATTATAGTTGTCACTTGTAATCCTTATACACATACATACATATTTTTGTTTAAAAAGAGTAACAACCACATCACAGAAATACGTCAAAATTAAGAAATCACTTTTTAAAGAAATCATTTGACATCCAAAAAC